TCCTGAAAGCAGATTTAAATCTCTTTCAAACTCTGCTGCCGTCTGGCTTTTGCTTCAGCTTGGCATGAGCTTCTAGAAATAAAGGGACTGCTCCTGGGATCAGCAACATGCAAAGATTAGTTTATAGAGCCTCACATCTACAGCACCACGAAACACTCTGCTGGACCTTTCCAATAACAGTTCATTTTATCCTCAAGTCATTTTCCCAGATTGACTCTTCCTCAGTCTCTTTTTTTATGCTTCCACTGGACAACTAATTAAAACTCCCACCCTTTGCTGCCGTCTGGCTTTTGCTTCAGCTTGGCATGAGCTTCTAGAAATAAAGGGACTGCTCCTGGGATCAGCAACATGCAAAGATTAGTTTATGGAGCCTCACACCTACAGCACCACGAAACACTCTGCTGGATCTTTCCAATAACAGTTGATTTTATCCTCAAGTCATTTTACCAGACTGACTCTTCCTCAGTCTCTTTTTTTACATTTCCACTGGACAACTAATTAAAACTCCCACCCTTGCAGGTGTGCTCTGCCCATCTCCCTCTTTGCCCCTGAGGAAACACCATTTTTTTTTCTACTGAAAGGCAGAACACAGGCCAAGATGATAGACACCAAGAGTACACCATCCTGCTAACGTGCCCTTGATGGAATACTCTCTGCTGGAAAAGCCTTATTTTGAAGAGTTCAGATGATTGCAGAGAGTAAGTGTTATGAGCAAAAGCAGGAGTGAGGTACCAGAGCCCTGCCTTTATGCTGTTACAATGCTCCTAAAACAGACAATGGAAATCATCTGAACAGAGACAGTCACTGACAGAAAACCTTGAGAAAAATTCTCTAGATAAAGCTTGCTACAAGGCTTGTTTAGGGAAAGGTCAACGTTAATTGGCATGTCTGGAAGGAAGGATGGGATCCCACAGTCATTAAATGAGAGAAAAGTTGAGATAACCTCTTCAAGAACATCAGGAGCGATTTCAGAATTAATTTCCACTATCCTAATCATGCAACAGGCCTTGAAATGGCCATAAAGAACTTACTTAACTTTTCTGTATTTTATACAATGTGAAAAGTCCTAATGTAAAAGACTGAGATCCATTATACTTATTTTTAGCAGGTGAAATCAAAGATTATGCCATCAAAGCATCCTTTGAGAGGTGCACAAGCCTTCACAGAGAAACCTTTTCATCCTCTTTGCACCATTCAAAAGTACTTCAGGAACAAAACTTTCTAAATGAGATTGCCTCCTTCAATTTTTAATTAAAACCATGCAAAATTAATGATCTTTCACAAACAGCTGTTTTGTTGCCGTAGATGCCCAGGTGTTCACCTGTTCATGCCAAATGAACTTCCAGGAGCCCAAGGGTCCCATTCAGCAGCCAACACCCAAAACAGCAGCCAACACCCCAAACCATCACGGCCCGCTCAAGGGGCTGACAGAGCATTGTCGTAAATAAATCATCATTCTAGTCAAAATAGAAACTGTCCAAGACAGTGATATTATACACAAATTAAAGTTGAAGTGCCACAAATATTTTGATAAACTAAATAAAAACGAAACCTACAAGCAGACACCTTGGAAGTTCATCTTGATATAATTTAGTAAGTATTAAAAATAGAATTTGTTGATAAATTTTCCTTAGCAAATACAATGGGTTTGATTTCCCCATAATCAAATATAACAATTTTGCCACAAGAACTTTCCAGATACTATTAAAGATCAAAATTAGACACACTTCTATGTCAGTCTCACACCAGCAACGTCATTTTCAGTTTGTTGCTCATTATCATGGGTTGAGCTAAAAGATGGCAACTGCTTGTCAATGGGTTTTGCAAAATGCCAGTCCCAGCGTATGCGCTTCTGCAACAATATTTGCAAAAGATCTCAATATTGAAAAGAGCAATTCTGAATGCATCAGCACTTGCTAAGCTCCTCTCTGAAGAAATTATTAAATCAGCCTGTCGTGGTTTAACCCCAGCCGGGAGCCAAGCGCCACGCAGCCCAAATCAGGAGGGTGAAAAGTGAGAAAACCCGTGGGTTGAGATAAAGACAGTTTCATGAGTAAAGCAAAAACCGCGCACACAATCAAAGCCAAACAGGGAATTCACTCACTACTTCCCATGGCATCCCCAGGAGAGCCGGGCTCCATCTCCCACAGGGTGACTTGGGAAGACAAACACGGTAACTCTGAACATCCCCCCTTCCTGCCTCTTCCCCATCTCCACACGCTGAGCATGATGTCAATGCCGTGGAATATCCCTTTGGGCAGCCGGGGTCACTGTCACTGTCCTGGCTGTGTCCCCTCCCAGCTTCTCAAGCTCCCCCAGCTCATGGCTGGCAGGAGCAGAAAAGCCTTGACGCCGTGTAAGCGCTGCCCAGCAGTAACTCAAACATCCCTGTTATCAACAGCCCTGTTTTCAGCACAAATCCAAAACACAGCCCCCTAGGAGCTACTCCGAAATAAGTTAACTCTATCCCAGCCAAATCCAGCACAAACGGGAACTGGACCACTACAGGGAAGAGAAATGGGACATGCAGGTTTTCCAAGACCTCAGGAATTCTGGCTTTAATGGAAGATACAGGACTGTGCCGTATTTGGGGTGTGCTAATCACGTTCTTCACAGGTTCCATCAGTCACTCAAGCAGCCAGGAAGGATTCACTTCTCCCATGGCTCCCCAAGAACATCTCAGCGCATAAACTGGCTTTGGGATGGGGAAAGGAGACGAGGAAATTCCCCTCTCAGACTTTGAAGATTACAGACTGATAAAATACAGTACACTGGTGCTACTATTTATTTTAAAATCTTGCAGGAGCCTTTCTGGCACAGTTAACCTTAACTTCACTGTCAGACTTGGGACCAGGAAGGCATGTTCCTTCAAGCTAGATTGGCAAATTCTGTTTCCTCTTTCCTTACCAACTCGCCTGGGGCAACTGCCACCGTCCTGGATCATCCCTAAATTTTATCAAACAGTTTCCCTGCTTCTCTAGGAATGGAGAATGTTATCAAGGTGTCAATGCCAACACCACAAGAAGCTTTCCATAAGGTACGTGGAGGTGGAACGATAACTAATGGAGATTTCTAGACAATGATCAGCCAACCAACAGAGGAACGATTCTTCCCAAAGACCAATGAAGATGATACTAAATGGAGATTTCTAGACAATGATCAGCCAACTGACAGAGGAATGATTCTTCCCAAAGACCAATGAAGATGACACTAACTTGATGATACTTTTTTGTTATTCCTTAGCAGATAACTGGCAAGCTTAAGAAGACAAAAGGCAATCATCTTCTTTGACCGTTGTAACATCAGGTAACTTGAGAGATAAATTAAGCAGAGGAAGGCAATGAGCATGAAGAGGCCACTGGTGACAACCTCTCTGAGCAACCCGTTCCAATGCTTGACAGTCCTCGTGGTGAGAAAGTATTTCCTTAGGGCCACTAACACTTCAGTTACTGGGAATGAAGTTTAATTTTTAAATTTCTTAAGTTATTGTCTTACATGCAGCTTTAAACTTCTTGCATATAGCCAAAATCTTGATCCCCCAAAGACATACACATTTATGTAATATTTGCAAGCAATTCCTCAAAATTCTTTTGAGTTTGCTTGTAACTAAGTGCAAGTGTCTGAAAGACATGGGTCTAAGACATTTCAGTGATGATGTTCGTTTCCGTAACGGCAGAGCAGACAATGTCTGTGCCACTCCTCCAATGAGATCCTGAAGGTCAACTGTTCTGTTCAGCAAGAATTAGCTTCACTGCAATCACAAGTTCCATGTTTCCTGAAATACATTCTGCAAATTAAACTTGTTTCGTATACGGGAATGGAAAAGTTGAGCTCGTCTTTTTGTCTTTCTCAAGGCTGGAGAATGGGAAAACTTCTTCCTCTTTGGGAAAAGGGAACTGGATGGCTCAGAGCCTTGTAGTAGACTATGGACCCTTCCACACAACTTCAAGTGTGACTGAACCTCGCTCCTACCTGAAAGCTTCCAATCAAAACTCACACGAAAGAGGACATGATTCATTGCACGATTATTCTGAGCGCTGCTTAAGAAGTTATTCCCCTTGGTTACTTCACAGGCCTGGGCCACAAAGAACCTTCCACTTGTTTAAAAGACGAAGAAGTTCTTCAAGTCGATGAGCACAGCCCAAGCCCCGGGATGAACCTGGCTAATGGCGCTCACACAACGGTCACGGCCTGAGCGCCCAAGAACCGGCTGGAACTGCCACCTTGGCTCGCTATGGCTTGACATGGACAACTGAGAGGAATTTTTAAAAGAGCGGCAAGAACATTGTGTTTTAAACATGGAGAGAGGCGGTGATGTTGGATCCTAGGTAGCTGGGAGTTTATTACTGCCGTGATGCCAAAACGCTGAGGGAAACGACGCCCGGACCCCCCTCCTGAGGGAGAACTAAGAGCAAACTAAAGGAACCCACAGAACCAGCGCGGCCCGAAGCCCCGCAGGGACAGCACCGCCAAGGGAGCGGGCAGCGGCCACGCACCGGCCGGGGGGCGGAGGGAGCCCCGCAGGCCGGCTCCGGCCGCTCGGCGCCTGTGGCGGCTGCCGGGCCCCCGGTCCCCCCGTCAGGGCC